AGCCTGTTGATTTGATTATTATTTCACCCGAGAATGACTAAGTCAAACCTTAATCAGTCATACCCTTAGGTGATTGAGTCCTTAATGGTTTAAGTGTTCTTACTTAACCCTAATCGTCATTTTATATGAAACCCTAATCGTTATTTCATGTGAGGTGGTCACTGTTGCAAGTGAGGCACCAATGTCGGCCAACTAGTTTTGGTTATCTGTTAGTAGAGGGATACCTTAGGGACTGTATATAGTCATGTAGGATAGACTGAGGACTCTTGATCCAAGCTCTCTTACTTGTTCCTCGTTTGGTTGTGGTTCTAGAGTGGGATCATCTGTCCGGGTGACTATCTCACCTCTGAGTATATACGACCATGCATTCCTTGGATTGTTGATATTAAGTATGCTGCTATGCTGTAGTGATCTGTTAGATCTGTGTTCTGGTATTGAGTATGCTACTATGCTGTAGTGATCTGTTAGATCTGTGTTCTGGCATCGAGTGTGTTGTTATGCTGTAGTGATCTGTTAGATCTATCTCTTAGTATTGAGTATGTTGCTTCGTGGTAATAATCTATAGAACTGTATGTTATATGTGCTTGCTGGTTATCATCTATGGAGTGCCCTTAGGGATTGTTTGTGTTCATGTAGGATAGCCTGAGAACTCTTGGTCTAGGCTCTCTTGCCTATTCCTTTTGTGGTTGTGGTTCTAGAGTAGGACCATCTGTTCGAGTGGCTATCTCACCTCTGGTTACTTATGGTTATGCATTCTATGGGGGTTAGCTGGTAGCGGGACTGTATGCTATGAGAGGATTAATAGGCAGTAGTGAGCTGTATGATTGTTGTTTACTTGTATTATGTGCCTACTTGATCCTGATTGTTTATATGTCGACATATTGTGTTTGGTTTGGGTCGAGGCGGTCCCGCTTTGTGCGGTAGGCCAAGATACCTGGTGCGGGCCGACTATAAGCCGTAGGCACGGAGGCTCGGGAAGAGCGGTAGGGTTGTGGCGGTAGGCCAACAAACTTTGGGTATTCCAGCTCGATGGCTGATTGGACCTGTTGTATATTGGCATCCCAACCTGGGGTATTCCATCCCGAGGATGACTGGACCCGAAGGTTGACTGGGCCTGGATATTGCAACCCGATGGTTGACTGGACCCAACATGTTTGATTGTATATGTGATCTGTTTATATGGTGGTATTTTGGGGGAAACTCACTAAGCTTTATGTTTACCCAGTTGTTTATGGTTTCAGGTATAATCGGTTATTATTGGAAGACGAAGGCGGGACTGTACATACTCATCAACAACATTGAAGATTCCGCGTTTCTACAATACTCTGATTTTTAATAAATGTATTTCGGAATAAATGGTTTTCTTAATTAATAGATTAATAAATTGGGAAGTTTTACCTTAATAAAAATGAAACTTTTTGGTTGTGAAAATGGGACGTTACATAAAGTCCTAAAAGTTTTTTTTTGAACAGAAAAATCCCGATTATTTTACATTTTTCCAAATTAACAAAAAAATCATTTTTTTATTTTATTTTAATAGAAAATGACAGATTATGTGATTTTTTCCAAAATAATAAGACTTTTCTGTTTAAAAAAACTTTTAAGATTTTATATAATTTTTTCCTAAAATATTGGGACTTTTTTGCATAAAACCCAATTAATAAAAGGTCAACAAAGCACAACTACTTTAAGCGTATGTACAACTACTTCACGAGTGCACCTAATCCTTTCCCATTATTTCAATCTCATATTATTCTTCTTCAAACACCACCAAACTCCGCCATCAAACACCACCTCCACCACACTATCATTAACTATCACCACTACCACTATGTTCTTATTTTATTTGTTTGATGCTTAAACCAGAGTTTGAATATGCTCAAACCTAGAAATTGAACCAAAATAAATCATCAAGTGCTCAAGCCCATAAATTAAGCCTGCTCAAACACCATCAACCTCCGTTATCGATGCTTAACCCTTCGATGCCCAAAAAAGCATGCCCAAAAACAAGTCAAACACCAAAAAATGAAAATAGTTGTGGTGGAGGTGGTGTTTGATGGTGGAGTTTAGTGGCGTTTGAAGACGGAGAATATGAGATTGAAGAATGCGGTTAGGTGCACAGATGTAGTTGTATATAAGCTTAAAGTAGTTGTACTTTATTGACCTTTTTAATAATGTTATATTAGGAATTTTTTGAAAATTAGATGAAAATATATAGTAAGAATATAATAGTTTTTCCATGTCTATTAGGGACGAAAATCGCAAGAAAGAAACCACATGTGCGGTGCGAAAGCAAAATAAGAAAAGAAGAAATGAAACGTACAATTTTAACAAAAACACTATGATAATTTCTGTAATTTACTTTAACAAATAGACATGAAGATTGCCATACAACCAAATAGAAAAGAAATGAAACATATAATATCGTAGAAAATAAAAGTGCTTTCATTATTTGTGGAAGAGTTGCTAGATACTTGTAATGAAAACCAAAATCAAGCTGAAAAATGGTTCTAGAAATAAAAAATTATTATAGAAATCGGAAATGGTGGTGGTGGCTCCGATGAATTGATGAAATTCATCAGAGTTTAAGTCTGAGTTTTCGTTTTTCGTTATCAAGCTGCATATAGGTCTTTGTTTTTGAATATTAACAGGGATGAACAAGAATGGTTCAAATGGTGGGTTATTTCAAATAGAGAGAAGAAATGATGTGACGATGACATAGATAGGCAAGAAAGGGATGACGACAATGATTTTAGATTATTTTGTATGCCGGAGTTAAGAGATGGCAACAATGGAGTCAGGTTATCACTATGGGGTTTTTGTAAATAAATAATTAATAGTTAAAATGAAATATAGTTTTTAATGAATGTAACGACAATTTTGATATTTTCTCAACTTACATGATATCACTATGTGGTTTTTGGACTCGTTTATTTTATCACTGCGAATTTACTATAAGAGATGAGCATTTTTTTTTTGATAACGTTGTTTTTCCTAGCAGTAGCTTGGTATTAGATGGAGACGTTTGTATCGAAAAAAGTCAATATTTTTATGTGGAAGGTGTCGCAGAATCGTCTTCCTACCGAGACAATTTGGATGCTTGTGGAATTGAAATTGTCTTCATATTGAGACAACTTGGATGCTTGTGGAATCGTTTTCCTACTATGTAATGACTGAGGAAAACGTTGATCGACACTTTCTCAAGTATGATGTAGCTGCGCAATTGAGCGAGAAATTAGCAATTAATGTGATTTTACAATTGTTGCTTTTGATTTGAGCCATATTTTATTCATTGGTTAGATAACTTATCTACGATAAATGTGTTGGAGTGAAGGCTATTTTTTATTTTATTTTATTTTATTTATTATTATTATTTTTTTTATAACTATTTGGTGGTGCATTTGGAAGTCCAGAAATGATTTTTTTTTTGCCTCGACTACACCTAAAAGGGGATTTGATTTTTGATAGTATGGGGGTGTTTGACTTATCTTTTGAGAGGCCAAAAGTCATTTTAGGAAAAGTTGCAAAAAGTCAGGTTTCTGACTTTTCCAAAAAGTTTATTTTCCTTATATCCAAAATCCAAAAGTAGCTTTTAAAAGTGCTTTTACCAAACATCTTTTACCTTTTATCTTTTCCTAAAAGGACTTTTGGCCTCTTAAAAGATAAGCCAAACACCCCTATCTTTCCATTCCTTTTACGCGGTATGCATAAAGACACTAAACTTAAAGCAGGTTGAGTCGGTTAACTTCAAAACCCAATGCTTTTTTTATTTTATCATTTGACAATGTTTATTTTTTCATAAGATATGGTTGGTTTAATATATTTAGCGGTTCAAAATAATAACAATAATAATGAAACCAAACCTAATTAAACCAGAAATATTAAAAACATCAATAATATATTATTTAACTATCAAAAGTTTAACCCATAGATGCAAGCAAATCTTTTGAGATGATATATGTTCAAATATAGAAATAAAATAGGGCATTATAGTAAATTGGTATAAATATGCTTTTTAACAGTTTGAAATTGGTTTAAATAAGTCATAAGTTGTTTAAGGACGTGTTTGGTAACGACGTTTGAAAGCTTATAGTTTTTAGCATTTAACAAAAAACTCAATTTAAACAAAAACATTCGTTTAGGAGCATTACGAACATTTAACTTTTAGTTTAAATAAAAATCTCAAAATCTAAAAGCTATTCAATATAACTTAAAAAAAACTAATTCATGTAACTTTTAAAAAAAGCTATTGAGCATTTTTAATAAATTTTCCGAATTATGCTTAAAAATATATTTATATGTTTAAAATTTTAAACAATTATTTTTATACAATTTTACAAATTTCAAAAGCTTTCAGCTACTTTTGCTATACGCTCATATAACAAATAAAGCTACAGTTTTCAACTTCCAGCTACCAACTATTAGCTATTAGCTTCAAACTAGTTTTGCGAAACACACTCTAAGTAAATTAGAACCTAATCACTTATCAAAAACTTCAGACAATAAGGACTTTTAGTTTCTAATGTACATTTTCATTTTATAATGTTTAATGGTTAGGCAACTACAAATATAAAACTTCTTTGGCTTATTAATACATGAACCATATTATATCTACATGCCATTCAAAAAATATATAAAACATATCATATAGAGGTTGAATTTACAAATTCTTGATCTCAAGTTGGCGACTAGGCCATGCTTAGCAGCGTATGTACCAAATTAGCACACATCAGTGTTTGAATGGTCAATGTTGAACTGTTTTTCCTTTACAAGTTTAAAATATGTGAAATAATATACAATCCAAAAGATGAACTTTTTCCTTGATTTTGATGAAGAAATGCCAAATACCATGAAAGTCGTGGTGAATTTTGAGACGATTGATAGGCCCAAACTGAGGCCTGATCTGATTCGCTTGTCGTGGACTCGTGGGTAACATTAATTTGAGAGTATTTTAATATTATATTTACGATCGCAGTGTCTCATACTGTTTAATTTACACTCAATAATACAAGACATAGTCTCCAAGTGACATAATCTTTATGATTATAATTTTGTCGACCGGGTCGTTAACGGCTGATTTACAAGATTAACAGAAAATTTACACTTCTCTCTCTCTAATAGAGTTGAAATTAAGCATATATCACGAACTACAAGGGAAAAGAACAGTGAGGAGTGATCAGATTTGAAGAAATATTGTTTGACGATTCAAAATGCCTAGAGATTTACTGGTACATTCGATCTTTTATCCTGTTTCTATTGCATATTCGCTTTGGGTTTCTCCGCCATTACTTTTCTTTTATCATCTAACAATCTTATGGGCGTTTTTGCTCGTTGATTTGCATCGCCATTGATGGGTATATATATGTAGAATACTTTCTTTGGATATTGGTAATGTTTGGTAATGGGTTTTTGGTTTTATTTCTGTGGGAAATGTTAAGGTGCGTAGTGCATACCAGGTGTTTGTAAAAATGCAATACCCATAAAGGAATTGAAAAACTGAAGGGTTACATGATTTCTTTCTGTTCCTCTAGTTTTGCTTTTACATGTTATAATGGTTCAATAAAAACGGTTTTGGATTGAGATCCGTTTTTAGCTCTTTATCATGTTGTTCATTAACAGGCCAAATGATGTCTCCATCCATGAAAGACTAACTTTAGCACCCGTTGAAGAATTTTGTAGAAAGGAGTTCAACAAGTAGGACACTTGATTAATGTTTATGGGCTAAGAAGTGGGGCAAAATGATCTTATGTTTTGAATTACCAAGGAGATGGAGGAAACACAAACAGACACTGTTCAAAACGACTCAAGGAATAAATCTGTTTCTTCTTCTTCAGATGGGGGTCTTAAATTTAAAAGAATGCATAGTGATCGCCACCTGGCGGATTCAGGAGGAGCACAAAGAGTGTCACAAGCCCTTTGGTCAACTGGAAATCTTTATGAGCCAATTCCTAGTGGATTCTATTCTATTTTACCTGTAAGGTGTCCAAATTCTCATTAAAACATACACATAATACAGCTTCACTTCACATCTAACATTCTCAACATGTTTCCATATTATTATGTAGGAAAAAAGACTCAAAGAGAAATATGACATGATCCCTTCTCTTGAAGAGCTTCATGTGTTAGAATCAGAGGGGTTTAGGCTCAATGTTATTGTTGTTGATATGCATAAAGATAAGAAGGTGTCAATGTTACAGCAGCTGGCTTTGACTTTGGCAAAAGGGTTGACTTCTAATCCAGCTGCAGTAATTAAAAAGATAGGCGGATTGGTAAATGATGCTACCTAGTTTTTCCCTTTGGAACATATTTATCTTAGTAGTGTTTGTTATGATGGAATCATGAAAGAAATGGAGTGATTCATTCCATTCCTTTTCCTTTTCCTTTCTATTCCATTCAACCAAACATACCATAAAGTTTGTTAATCACTTCACCCTTGATAATATGTCCTTTTTGTAGGTTTGTGACTTCTATAAACTCCCAAATGTGGAGTTAAATTATGCAAAAACTGCTTGGGAGGAAGTCTACAATGTACATAATCAAGGTATTCAGATGCTAGGTCAAATAAAGCATGGTTTTTGTCATCCACGTGCCATTCTTTTCAAAGTTCTTGCAGATACTGTTGGCCTTGACTGTAGAGTTATGGTGGTATGTTCTTTTTTCATTCAATCTTTTTGCATTTTTCTATCATGCCACTTAATTTAGTGTTAAATGCAAGAAATAGCCTTGTAGTTTCATTGTATATCATTATTTCTCTCTGTTTTTTCTGATTGCAGGGTTTACCAAAGGAAGCAGAATCAGAGAGAACAGATTCACACAGACACGTGTCTGTTATTGTGGAGCTGAATTCTACTGAATTACTGGTTGATATAGTGAGGTATCCAGGGCATTTGGTACCCTTTTCAACCAAGGCAGTATACATGTCTCATGTGTATGTCATTGGTCAAGGTGATTCTGGAGAAAATGACTCATGTGATTCTCCTATTGAACCCAACAGCCCTGTACATGGTGCTGCAGAAAACACAGATGAAGGGTAATAAAGTAATTTTACAGCATCATACCATTTCTTACATAAAACAAAACAAGTTGTACTATGTTTGGTGTGCATTGGACTTGGACTGAGACTGATGTCAATAGTATAAAATTTGCCCTTGATATCTCACTTGTGCAAAAGACGTAAATGCCCTCTTTATTATATTTTACAGTGACACTAATGCAGCAAATGCAACATGGGGGCGCAACAAAAATGCACTTGCTGAACAAAGCACGCCTAGTTCAAGGTTCTCTCTTTCCCTCTTTTATTCAAGGGTATTTCCGTCATTATGCTTAAACTATAAAACATTTAAATCAACAAATCATGTTTATTTTTATCATTTGTTTGTTTTATGTTTTACTTTCAGTCCAGAGCATTATTTATTTAGAGGGCATGGAAGATCTATGCTTGGTGGTCATAAAGATTCTCCCAAAGGATATGGACATGGCATGACAGTATCAAGGTTCTTTTTTTTATTTATTTATTTAAAATCTAATGCAAAATAACAATTAAATTTTGTGTTTTAATATTCTATTTGATGGATTCTGATGAGTAATTCCAGGTCAGCAGGGGCATCACCTACAGGAAGCCGAAGAAGACGAAGGAGAAGTAGTGCTACTATGATTCCAGAAATTGGTGATGACATTGTAAGGTTGATACTTCAGTAACCCTGAATCTAATCATCTATGATTAATTATTGGTTTTTAAATATGAACTTTTTGATAGATTTGATAAATAGTGTAATTATGAAAATAGGGTTGTGAGAGCAATGAATGATACTTTGAAGAGAAATCATCCTCCAAGGGAACTTGTTGATGAACATGGCACTAGTCCAGATCATCAGGAAAATGTATGTGTTTCTTTTTTGTTAGTAAAACTGATGATTTAATGTTTAATCTTTTTATTTGTTTATGGAATTTGATGATTTTAGGCATCTGGTTCACATAACCATAGGAGGCAAACGAGTTGTCCAAAAGCCATCTCTTTGCCTTCATCTCCTCATAAGTATAGGACTCGTGTTCTTGGTTCTGATAAAAATGGAACTGAAAAATTAGAAGGAAATTTTGATATGATCACAGCATGGAATAAGTTACTTGAATCTTCCTCCATTGGGAATGAACCATGGTTTCCATATCATGAATGGAATATTGACTTTTCTGAACTCACTGTTGGTTCACGTGTTGGCATAGGTACTATCCCCTATCATCATCATCATCATCATCATCATCATCATCATTATAAATACATGCTATCTTGTAGGATTTTTTGGGGAAGTTTTCCGAGGTACTTGGAATGGAATAGAGGTTGCTATTAAAGTGTTACTTGAACAGGAAGTAAGTGCTGAAAATATTGAAGATTTTTGCAATGAGATTTCCATATTAAGGTACCTTTCACACAAATTTCCTTCACCTTCAGTCTCAAAAACTCTATTTTCTACTCTGTAGCTGATTTTTTTTTTTTTTTTTTTTTTTTTTTTTGCAGTCGACTTCGCCACCCAAATGGTATTACACTCTTTTTAATTCAGATAAGATTTATTTTAGCATATTATATTTCTTGTTTGTTGATTACCACACATTCATGTAAACTTTTTTGTTATGTAATGCAGTTATATTGTTCCTTGGTGCCTGTACTTCGCCTCCTCACTTTTCATTGATCACTGAATACATGGACATGGGGTCACTATATTACCTGATTCATGTGAGTGGGTTAAAAAAGAGAATCAGCTGGCGAAGGAGACTCAAAATGCTGTGTGATATATGCAGGTATCATCCTAAACCTCCATTTTTGTTCATTTTTATTCCCTGCTTGTTATGCATGACAAGATATGACAAAACAGGTTGTACTGTGTTTGGCGTGCATCAGACTGGGACCGAGCCCGATGTCAATGGAACAAAATTGCATTTTTTTGTCCCAATTAAGAAGCTGGTACAAGATGAGACAGGGACTCGCTCTTGATCTCTTTTTTGTAAAAAAGACGTAAATGCCCTCTTCATCCTTATCATCGAAAATAGCCCTAGAAAGCTTGTCCAATCCCGTCCAGTCCTATGTAACAAACGCAGCAGCTGCGCTGCGTTTGTTACACTGGCCATGACAGAACTGGACTGGAGAAGCTTTTCCAGGGCTATTTTCGATGATAAGGATGAGGAGGGCATTTACGTCTTTTTCACAAACAAGAGATCAAGAGCGAGCCCCTGTATCACCTTGTACCAACTTCTTAATTGGGACAAAAAAATGCAATTTTGTCTCATTGACATCGGTCTTGGTCCCAGTCTAATGCACGTCAAACACAATACAACCTGTTCTGTCATGTCTTGTCATGCATAAGCATAACAAATGGGGTCTATGTATTTGTACTATAGAGGCATTTGCTAACAAATCGTAATAATGGTTTGTTTGTTTACTTGCATGTATAGGGGTCTAATGTGTATGCATCGAATGAAAATAGTGCACCGTGATCTGAAAAGCGCGAATTGCTTAGTGAATAAGCATTGGATAGTAAAAATTTGTGATTTTGGGCTGTCACGGGTACTAACAACCGCAAACATGAGAGATTGTTCGTCTGCAGGGACTCCAGAGTGGATGGCACCCGAACTCATTCGCAATCAACCCTTTACTGAAAAATGTGATATTTTCAGCCTCGGTGTCATAATTTGGGAACTATGTACTCTTCAAAGACCATGGGAAGGTGTCCCATCAGCCCAAGTAAGTCCTTGCTTTTTTTTTTTTATCTGTCTGTATAAAGTGTTGTCTGGATAAATGATGATTAAAACATATTTGTTACAGGTGGTTCGTGCAGTTGGTAATGATGGAACACGACTTGAAATTCCTGAAGGTCCTTTGGGAAACCTAATATCAGGTATGCAATAAAAAAATAAGAAACAAATCTTCTCTATTAAGTCCTTCTTGACTTGTTTCTTTATTATGTAAAAAATAAACAACCGTAAGTTGAGTTTATATTGTATATTCTTTCAGATTGTTGGGCAGAACCAGATCAACGACCTAACTGTGAAGAAATTTTGTCACGCTTAATGAGCTGCGAGATGCTGATTTAATATTTTGGATTGTAAGTAAAATTCTTACAAGTCTTTGCGTGAAAACTATTTTAATTTCTAGTAATTTGGTTGTATTATAAACGTTGTGTTGTTTTCAGGTGGCTTTCAAACATGAACAAAATGATTGGATAAAGTTCTGGAAGTGCAATACTTCAAATTTTGATCAACAACATTTAAACATTTTTGCATTAGTAGCAACTGATTTGCTTTCTTACCATCCAAATGAATAAATGTAAGCTTAAAAGACATTCAAAAGCCTAAACTAGATAGAAAGTTTATGTAAATATTATCTTTATAGTTTAAAGAGTGACTTGTGTTTGAGTTATCAAATGTAGCTAGTCAATTAATTTGAATGATTTGGATATGGTTACTATGTCTAAGCAATCAATGTTTATTTATAAATGGAGGTGGTAATTTAGGAGGTGTTTCATAATTGATAATTTGATATGCTTCTTATTTAGTAAGGAGATACTAAGTTTAAAGGCAGATGCAAAAAGAGCCTCATGGGGTAGGTGCCCCCAACGACTTAGAAATTTTTATAAAAGATAGGATGTAGATTGAATCTGTTTAGTCTCATTTTCCGACCTAAAAATGATTATATGAGATTTTAATGGAATAAAAAGAAACCAAATTTAATGGTATAACTTTTTTTTGGTCTATTTATCTTCGATAACTCATTACACACATTAATCATAAGATTAAAATTTGTTATTATGAAAAATGCTCTAAATAGCTCTTACCAAGATAACCCAATAATGTCAAGAAAGTTTCATAACTTCTAATTCAACTGTTTTGTGCATATTTTATTTATGCTTTGAAAATTTAATCGAAATGTAGATTATATTTAATATGCATAACGTCTGGGACCATTCGGTGCAACTTTTAAAAATTATATGGACGAGTTATGTTAAAGGGACAATGACTTAAAAGGGTAATGCATTTTTTGATTTGTACACATTTAGCCACTGATTTTTTTTTCGTTCACATTTACCCCTTCAACTTGTTAAACTGTACACATTTAGTCCTTATGACCGGCTACTCCAGGTTAGCCGGTAAAAATGACTTAATAGGGTAATATATATCTCAATTTGTAAACATTTAGTCCTATATATATATATATATATATATATATATATATATATATATTGCAAAATAAGTCATTTTTGTTTTTATACTCATTCAGTCTTATGAATGATTTCTTTAGATTTTTCTCACGACATCTTACGTGGGATAGCCATATGGAGGTGAGATAGGTTGAGGTGGCCATGATATATGTTGTAGGCCAAGATACCTGGTGCGGGCCGGTTGTAAGCCGTAGGCACGGAGGCTCGAGAAGAGCGGTTGGGTTAAGGCGGCATACCGAGTTACTGACAAAACCTAGGTATTTCAGTCTGATGACTGATTGGACATGTTGCATGTTGGCATTCCAGTCCGATGACTGATTGGGCCAAGGTATTCCAATATGATGAGTGTGGGCTCGTTATGCATGATAATATGTTTGTTGTATCGAGTATTTTGGGGGAAACTCACTAAACTTTTGATGGGTTTTACACAAAATAACATCCTATGTGCTCATGCAAACCCTAAAACTTGGATCTATGCTTCTCTATTGTACATGCAATTCATCCAAGACTTTCAAACCCTAAACCTTGTCCAAGTAAGTATTCTGACTAAGTCCTATTAGTTTCTTACTTCTGTTTCTCACTATCCTTATACCCAAAATATAGGCAGCCTCTCCGAGGTCCTTCATAGCGAAGCACTTCCCAAGTCAGGACTTGACCTACTGCAGCGTCGGGATGTCGTTTCCTATGAGTAGTATGTCATCGACATACAATACGAGGAAGCTTACTATACTCCCACTGGCTTTGACATATACACATGATTCATCCTCGCTTTGCAGAGAACCAAACTCTTTGACTTTCTCATCGAAACAAAGATTCCATCTGCGAGATGTCTGTTTCAGTCCATAAATAGACTTCTCAAGCTTACACACTCTATTGGGATGCTTTGCATTGACAAAACCCTCTGGCTGAGCCATGTAAACATCATCAGCCAAATTCCCGTTAAGGAAAGCGATTTTGACATCCATTTGCCATATTTCATAGTCATGAAATGCAACAATGGCTAACATCACCCTGATAGACTTTAACTTCGCAACTGGTGAGAAGGTTTCATCATAGTCAACTCCGGGAGTTTGAGTGAAACCCTTCGCAACCAATCGCGCCTTATAGGTGTGTACATTCCCAACCATGTCGGTCTTCTTCTTGAAGATCCACTTGCACCCGACCGTCTTACGACCTGGCACATTGTCAACCAAATTCCAAACTTGGTTGTCATACATGGACTGAATCTCGCTGTCCATAGCCTCTTTCCATTTCACAGACTCCGGGCCTGCCATGGCTTCCTTATAGTTGTTAGGTTCGTCCAGATTCACTAGTGTACAATCACTAATGAACGTATCCCCTTCGGTAGTAATATGAAAACCATAAAACTGGGGTTGAACCCTAACTCTTTCGGAACGTCTAAGAGGTAAGGACTCGTCAATCGGTTCAACCGGAGTTTCCTCCTCGGGTTGAGCGCCAGTGTTAGAGGTTCCTTCATCGCTCGACTCTTGAAGCTCTTCAAGATCGATTTGCCTCTCACTGTCCCCTTGGCTTATGAGTTCTCGTTCTCGGAAAACCCCTCTCCTCGCAACGAAGACAACATTGTCACTCGGTCTATAGAAGAGATATCCAAAGGACTTCTACGGGTAGCCGCTGAAAATACATCGCTCACTATGAGGTTCGAGCTTGTCGTGAGTCTCTCGTCTTACGAAAGCCTCGCAACCCCAAACCTTGATGTGTGCCAACGAGGGAGCTTTCCCTGTCCACATCTCGTGAGGTGTTTTGGCAACCTTCTTCGTGGGGACTAAGTTAAGGATATGGGCGGCAGTCTCTAAGGCATACCCCCAGAATGAGATAGGTAGCGAAGCACGACTCATCATGGAACGAACCATGTCTAGCAAGGTTCGATTACGCCTCTCAGCCACACCATTCAACTGTGGTGTCCTAGGTGGCGTCAATTGCGAAACGATTCTGCATTCCTTGAGGTAGTCGTGGAATTCAAGACTTAGGTACTCTCCACCTCGATCAGATCGAAGTATCTTGATTTTCCTGCCCAACTGATTCTCCACTTCTTGTTTAAATTCTTTGAACTTTTCAAAGGTTTCTGACTTGTGATTGATTAAGTAGATATACCCATATCTGCTATAATCATCGGTAAAAGTCACATAGAAGCGGCTCGCATCCCTTGTGGTGGATCTAAAAGGTCCACATACATCTGTATGTATGAGATCCAATAAACCCTCACCCCTCGCACAAGTGCCATGAAGGGTGACTTGGTCATCTTTCCAAGTAAACAAGATTCGTACACGTCATCGTCCCTAAGGTCGAATGACTCCAACACTCCATCCTTTTGGAGTTGGGCTATGCGTTTCTTGTTGACATGTCCAAGACGACAATGCCACAAGCATGCTTTATCCAAATCATTGGAAGAATCAATACAAAACACATCATTTCCTAAATTGTCTACAACCATCACAGTTTCATATATTCCATTACAAGGCAATGCTTCAAAATAGAAAACACCATTAAGATAAGCATTAATAGAACACTTTTCATCATCAAATGAATATCTAAAACCTTGTCTATATAAACCATGAAATGAAATGATGTTTCTTGCCATATCTGGCGAATAGCAACAATTATTTATCTTCCCATGATCAAAGAGTAAACTCCGATCTTGGTGACAGGCGACAGGCGACGATCTTTTGTTCCCCATGATCAAATTTATCTTCCCATGCTCCACATCCCTATTTCTTCTTAGGCCCTGCAAATCAGAACAAATGTGAAAACCACATCCTGTATCAAGAACCCAAGTAATAGCACGTGATGAATCATTAGATTTAATAGTGTAAATACCTGCGTAGGACGACTTGATGTTTCCATCCTTGATGTCTTGCAGATACTTCGGGCAACTTCGTTTCCAATGCCCTATTTCATGGCAGTAGTGACACTCTACCTCCTTGGGGTTGGAGTTGGGTTTAGCAGGACCAACCTTGGTTCCACTAGAAGAGGAGCTATTTTGGGACTTTCCCTTATGGTGGCTCTTTGAGGGAGCCTTCCTCTTCTTACCCTTCCCTTGCCCAATTGCCAAGACTGGGGCAGCAGTAGGAGTTGGAGATGATGCAACAGATTTATCTTTGAGGTTGCTCTCAGCAGTCCTCAACAGTTATTAAAGCTTGCTCAAGATGACTTCCTCCGTGTTCATGTGGTAGGTCATGCGGAACTGGCTATAGCAGGGAGGCAAGGAATGAAGGATGATGTCAATTGCCAGCTCTTCATCAAAGTTAACATTTAGCTTTAGCACGCGATCGACATATCTCTGCATCTTTTGCATATGAGCAGTAAGGGACTCTCCATTACCCATTTTGGTAGTGATCATCGAAGTGATGATCTCGTACCTTTCTTGCCTAGCGCTTTGGTGGTACCGGTCCAGCAGATCCTGGTGCATTTCATAGGGGTACATGTCCTCATAGGACTTCTGGAGTTCTGCAGTCATAGTCGCTAGCATGATGCAATGGACGTTCGTTGCATCACGCTCATGGGCCTCATAGGCCGCGATCTCTTCAGTAGAGGCAGTGGTGATGTTGATTTCCTTCAGCTTCTCATCGAGGACATACTCTTTGTCCTCGTAACGAGTGACCATTCGAATGTTGCGGATCCAATCATTGAAATTGGACCCGTCAAAAAATCACTCTCCCACACAAGTTCATGAGTGAGAACGAGCCAGAGGAAGTTGAACCAGAAGCGTTATTGTTGGCGTTCGACATCTGAAAAGGAAAAAGAATAAAGTTTGATTAGAAATGAATCCCTAATTAAACACCCAAATGAGAAATTAGGGCTAGGATCCAACAACATTATTTACAAATTAGAAGAGGGATGCCGTAATCTAACAAGTAAATAATTTGAAGGTAAGTGAATAACGATTCACTAATTTTCCACCATGAACTTTTCAATGGCATGTTTAAATCTCGATATGCCCCTCAAGTTTGTGACTGGGATGCCGAGGATCACAAAGCGGGTGTGAATAACCATGCAAATGTACATGGTGCCCTCAATGTTACAGTCACCTATTCGACGTGCCGGTTAACCACACACACTCCATCGAACTATGACAAACATTGAGTCACCCTTTGCCACCTTTGCTTAGAACCCAATTAGTGTGCCAGTTAACCACACACGCTCCACTAACGTCTTAGCCAGGGTACAAAGTGTAATTTCATGGAATTGCATCAATTCACTTTTGCCTAAAGTAACTAAGATTGAGAATTTTATAAAAACATTTAGTTACTTTATAAATTCATTATACTTTTAATGAGGAAATGATTGCCCTATCCTACCCGTTCGGCTAACGACCCTCCACCAATCAAGGAAGCGGTGGGTGAGAGTGGACACCCATTAAACGACCATTTTATAGGCCATAACCTTATACCCCCTTATAGATCGGGTTCGTGAATGAGGCCTACTAACGGTAAGACTAGCATTTAAGTTATATATATATATATATATATATATATATATATATATATATATATATATATATATATATTAATCTTATAATATTGTAAAGTATAAGGTTGAATTTTAAACTTGTAAAATTCTAGGGTTTGAAATTTAAATAGTTCAAATTAAACTTTTAATCAAAAATTTAAATTTCAAAACTCGAGGACAAGTTTTGAACTTTTCAAAACACATAAGATCAAATAGAAAATAATTTAAAATTAAACATTTAATTTAATGATTATCTAAATTTGACCTAATCAATTTTTATTTACAAGATAATTCATCAAATAATTTAAATAATCAAATATTATCACATAAGGAATTTATTATTCAATTAAATGGTAATTATCTTTTGTTTTGGAAAGGATAAACATTTAACAACAATAAAATTCGGATTTTATTAGTAAAAAACGATTTTGGTAATTATCCTTAAGCAAAACAGCAAGAAATCCCGAAAATCCCTCTGTCTGACGTCCCGGCTCGCCGAGTCCCCTTATGGACTCGTCGAGTTCATCCTACTCGTCGAGCCCACTATGGGACTCGCCAAGTCTGTCAGTCAGGGGGCCAAAAAAATCGATTTTAAAGCATGAATGAAAACACAAAGCATCAATACAATAGAAGCCAATCAAGGCTCTGATACCACTGATGAGTTTTACACAAAATAACATCCTATGTGCTCATGCAAACCCTAAAGGTTGGATCTAGGCTTCTCTATTGTACATGCAATTCATCTAAGACTTTCAAACCCTAGATCTAGTGTATATAATTCGAAATTGACATAACAAGACAGATCTAGATGATTACCTCTTCTTCAAAGCTTGAATCTTCTTGTCCTTGGAGCTTAGAGTCACAAATGTCACTCCTCTAATGGCTTACAGACACCACAAGCAAGATGATGATCTTGGAGAGAGGTTGGAAGCTCTTGAAGTCGGCTCTGGTACTGTTAGAAGTAGGGGGTAGCCGATTTATGAAGCCTAAGGGGTCTATTTATACTTGTGCTGTTAGAGTTTCAGTCAAAACCCTAATTGGATAGCTTAGGCCTTAAGCAATCCAAAGAACCTTCCAGAATAAAGGCCTTGGACGAAATTAGATGGACTCCCACTCTAATTTTCGTCCACCCCTTAAATCCAAAAGGATTCTCAGCCCAAATCAACTATCACACAATTGACAGTTCCAGACCCTTTTATTTAATTAATCTCTTTTAGCCACATAATTAATTCTTAATTAATTCTTGTCTAATATTAATTAAACTATATGATTTCTCCTTTAATATATTATTCATATAACATATTAATAAATCATAATAACCTCTTTATTCATAAATCATCCTATCATGTTGCTTTGGTGAAGGCAACTCAAAAGGACCATGCACAACCAGGTCAAATACTTACCAAATATAGTTACGAGCTTAGACACTAATCCAACAACTTTGTATTTACCCAGTTGTTTATGTTTTCAGGTTATATCGTTGATCATGGGAAGGCGAAGACATGACTGTACACACTCATCAACAATATTGAGGATTCCGCGTTTCTTATATTACTCTGATTTTCAATAAATGTATTTTGGAATAAACGTTTTTTCTTAATAATGGATTTATAATTAGGGACTTTTGCCTTATTAAAAATGAAAAGTTTTAGTTGTAAAAATGAGACGTTACACATAAACATTAACATTCCCACACACTTCATCAATGACTGTCCCACGTAAGATGTCGTGAGAAAAACCTAAAGAAATCATTCATAAGTACTGAATGAGTACAAAAACAAAAATGACTTATTTTGAAACAAAAAAAATATTAAGGACTAAATGTGTACAAAAATATTAAAGACTAAATGTGTACAAAATGAGAAATATATTACCTTATTAAGTCATTTTTCCCGGCTAACTTGGAGTAACCGGTCATAAAGACTGAATGTGTACAGTTTAACAAGTTGAAGGGGTAAATGTGGACAGAAAAAAAACCCAGTGACCAAATATGTAAAATCGAAAAATATATTACCCTTTTAAGTCATTATCCTATGTTAAAAATTAAAAAATTAGACTAAAATTACATATAGATATAGATGTAGACCACGTGGACCCAAAATGTAATTTACTCTATCAAATATTCCGATGGTGTTAAACTGTTCCAGATAAAACACATATTCCAAGGGCACCATTGCCGTCACCGGAACCCCAACTCAACCATGCCGGCGTTCAAAACCCCGTTCAACGGCTACGCCGTAAAGTTCAGCCCCTTTTACGAGCAACGACTCGCGGTCTCCACCGCTCAAAACTTTGGCATCCTTGGCAATGGACGGATTCACGTAATCGACCTTTCTCCCGCCGGACCGATCGCCGAAATCGCCGCCTACGATACCGCGGATGGTGTTTACGACGTTTCATGGTCAGAATCTCACGATTCACTTTTAGTCGCAGCCGTCGCCGATGGTTCGGTCAAGCTATACGATCTCTCCCTCCCACCTACTTCCAATCCAGTTCGATCCCTCTCCGAACACACCCGCGAAACCCACTCGGTTGACTACAACGCCGTCCGTCGAGACTCGTTTCTATCGTCCTCCTGGGACGACACCATCAAGCTCTGGACAATCGATCGACCTACCTCCGTCCGTACGTTTAAAGAACATGCGTATTGTGTTTACTCCGCCGCGTGGAACCCCCGTCACGCAGATGTTTTTGCGTCGGCGTCCGGCGATTGCACCGCCCGGATATGGGATGTGCGTGAGCCGGGATCAACAATGATCCTCCCAGCTCACGAATTTGAAATTTTATCATGTGATTGGAACAAATACGATGATGCAGTGATCGCGACTTCATCGGTTGATAAATCAATTAAGGTATGGGATGTCAGAAATTACAGAGTTCCTGTAGCTGTTTTGAATGGACATGGATATGCAGTGAGAAAAGTTAAGTTCTCACCACATAGAGCAAGTGTAATCGCGTCATGTTCATATGATATGACTGTTTGTTTGTGGGATTATATGGTGGAGGATTCGTTGATTGGGCGTTATGATCATCATACAGAATTTGCAGTTGGGGTTGATATGAGTGTTCTTGTTGAAGGGTTATTAGCAAGCACTGGATGGGATGAATTTGCTTATGTTTGGCAACATGGGACTGATCCAAAAGCACCTTGAACTTGAAACGGGTGATCATTCATCTCATACTCCTTTTCCTTAATCACTGTAATTTGTGTTAGAATTCAAGATTTTCTTGATAATTAGCATATAATTCCATGGTTGTTTTTGGACACTTTGCCTGTTTGTGTGTTGTTGAATGATCAATGATATGCATTAAATGTTCAAAAGATCATTGGAAATCAAAAGGGTGATTGTTGATCTCTTACACATTTTCATTTTAATTACTGTTGTTATGTTAGAACTTAGAATTTTGGTGTCTCTTGATAATTATCAATAGCATAATTCTATGGTTGTTTTTGACACTTTGCCTGTCTACTGTTGAGTGATCATTGATATGCATTATATGTTCAAAAAGATTAATCTTGTAGAGAAATATCAAGACCCTTTATCATGTACCTGTTGTCTACTTTTGAATGTTTGGATGTGAGTATTGCTTCTTAAAGAGTCATAATAAGATAATCAGAATATCAGATAATCAGCAGCTTAAACATAAGGATAGTTTGGAAATTTTACATGTATCTGAGTAATCCTTTTGCTTCTTGTGATTTGTATTCAATTTCAAGTGTTTTTTGTTGGTTTAAGTTAAACTGATAATTAGCAATGATTCTTTACATGCTTCTTGTGATTTATATATATTTCATATGTATTAGAGACTTGTGAACTCGAATCCCAACAAGTGGTAAATGAAAATGCATCGTGTCTTACTGCATTAAGAGGTTATCTAGTTTATTTTATCTAGATTTGGGATAACCATTTGGAATCCCAACAAGTGGTAAATGAAAATGCATCGTGTCTTACTGCATTAAGAGGTTATCTAATTTATTTTATCTAGATTTGGGATAACCATTTGATTACGCACACCAGGTGCTCGACAAAATGCCTAATTTCTATAGTGAAGCTCTGTGACACTCGACAACCACATTCATATCGATACCCCATATAGCCTCAAAGGCGATTGAAATTGTTATTTTTTTTTTTAATTCAAAGTGTCTACTGAATTTGTTATCCACCGGGCAGAAATACCAATTTAAATAAAAAAACAAGTTCAATTACTTCTTACAATTCAAACAAAATTTAACAAATGCGCACAAGCTCAATAATTTAGTGCCTAATTTCCACCAGTTTTTTTTCTTTGATTTTTTCATACATCGGAGATCACATTGATCCTCAGGGATCATATACTTTTAATCGTAAGGTTCATATACATTTAATGTGTATATTTAACTAAACAATATATTAACAGTTTAATAGAAATAATGTGTGATGAAAGTTCAATAAAAAACATGGTTCTAAAAGGTGCATCATGGCGCGATGCATAGTGTAGCCGTTTTGAAAACGTCCGAGACAGGTTTGATAGACACGACGCCCAAAATAACGTGTCAAGGTGCATCTTATTATGTTTTTTTGAAGTTTTTTTATTTTTATTTTTATTGGGCTTAAAACAATTGAGTTTTTATTAACTTTTTTTATATTAAGTGTTAATATGACATTTCTAAAACTTCGAATATTTGATATAATTCTGTAATTATGTGATTTATCTTTTTTAATATTTATAAAATTGTCGCATCGTGAAAAACGTTACGACTCGTCAAGGTTCATCATGGCTTGAGGCTTGACTTTGCCACCAAGCGATGCCTTGCGCTATTTAAAACATTGATAAAAAGGTGAAAGAGTGTGAAGAGTTAAATATTTTTGGGTTATTGCTATAAAGCCCCTAATTTTACATAAAATGTCCGGTATATCTTAAGTCCGTTTTTTAGTTCATTAATGTCCTAACATACCGGAAAAATTGTTTATTTTTGTCCCTTACCCGGTTTTATCCCTACAGCCGGTCACCCCAATCTACGTGGCATGCTAAATGGGTATTCATGCGGACATGGCTGCAACATGTGTTTCATTTAAAAATTAATCACTTTGGAGGAAGAATGTAGGCGGATTCAAACCCACAACCTAGAGTTTCATAAGGCATCGACATTACCATCGAGTTGGACGCAATTTTGTGTTTTTAATACCGAGCAACTATAAACTTGTTTTTTTTATGCATGTGTTGGTTCAAATTAAGGTTTGGCTATGTTTCACCGTATTTTTTTTTATGTTTTCGTGCTTAATTTTATGTATGTTTCCTACGTATAAGTTTGGTCATATATAATAACTTTCATTCATAAACTTAAAAAAAAAACGTATTATATTTAAATTCGTCTATGTTTCAACATAATTTTTTTACGTTTTGTGTTTAATTTTATATACGTTTCCTACTTATGAGTCGGGTCGCATATAATAACTTTCGTTTGTTAGTTCAAAATAAAATAATTTTTATGTGTTTTTATGTATGTATCGACATAAATTGAAGGTGGTTAACGTTTCGACATATTCGCCGTAAATTTAGAACTTTTGTTTAGTAATTTTAAAAGAACTTACTTGCTTTTGTTTATGTACGTGTCGGTATAAATTCGATTTCGTATGTTTCGACGTAGATAAACATATAGATAAAATTAAGCACAAAACGTGTATATATATATATATATATATATATATATATATATATATATTATATATATATATATATACTATATATATATATATATATATGTCAAAACATAGATAAACTCGAAGATAATATGTTTTTTTTAAGTTAACGAATGAAAATTATATGTGATTCGATTCATACGTAAGAAACGTACATAAAATTAAGTACACAAACGTAAAAAATTATGTCAAACATAGACAAACTTGAATATAATACGTTTTTGTTTAGTTAACGAACGAAAGTTATTATATGTGATCAGATTCATACGTAGGAAATACACATAAAACTAAGGGTATATTGCAAGAAAGTCAATATATTACCACACAATTTCGATTTTGACACCAAGTTTTTTTTCTCAATTATGTCACTATATTTAGAATTTTGTTGTATTATCAATCAAATGACTGGTTCTCACTGTTCTCTCGGTAACTTAACTACTTTTCTCGAATTGCAATAAAGTCACTAAATTACCAAAATTTTGATTTTAACACCGAGTTTCAAATTGCAAGAAAGTCACTATATTACCACAAAATTTCGATTTTGACACCGAGTTTTTTTTCTCAATTATTTCATTACATTTACAATTTTGTTGCAATGTCAACTAATTGACTGATTCAAGAGATGTTATTGTGGCTCAGAAGCTCGATTTATAAAACAAATAAAGAATGACAATCTAATGGTTCAAACTCACTTACAAGTCAACGAAAATGATATAATCACCCTTTCGGAAGATAATATTGTGGTTTAGAAGCTCGATCTGTACAACAAATAAATGAAGACCCCTACAAGGTCGATTTAGTGGTTCAAACTCACTAAGCATCTATTGGATCGACATCATAGGGATCTTCATTTACTTGTCGTAGAAATCGAGTTTCTAAACCACAATAACATCTCTTGAAATGCTGAGTACGCCCTTTTCACTAAATTAAGTGAGTTTGAACAACTAGATTGACCTTCACACACCATTTGCAGTATCAATCAAAATTGGTTGCAGTGTCATCCAATTGACCATTTACCATCAATCTAGCAGGTTACCAAATAAATAACATAACAATATTGTGATGTGGAAGCCACACCAGATGTTATGTGATAGGATTGAGTTTTAAATATATGGTTTGCATCGAACCTAATTTTACATGTCTTTTTAGGTCAATCCAATGGTTCAAACTCACTTAAAAGTCAACAAAAATGGCAGACTCACCCTTTTAGGCGACACTTTTTATCATAATGTTTAATGTTTAATTCTTGCTAGAGTATTTTCTTCACAAATCGCGTCCGAAGGTCAATCTAGTGGTTCAAACTTAGTTAAACGTCAATGAAAAAGGTGTACTCACCCTTTCATGAGATGTTATTGTGGTTTAGAAGTTCTATTTGTTCAACAAGTAAATAAAGACCCATACACGGTCGATCCAGGAGATGCTTAGTGAATTTGAACCACAAAATCGACCTTATAGGGGTCTTCATTTATTTTTTGTACAAATCGAGCTTCTAAACAACAATAACATCTCCTGAAAGGGTGATTATGCTCTTCTTTGTGACTTGCAAGTGAGTTTGAACCATTGGAATGTCCTTCATTTATTTGTTGTACAAATAGAGCGTCTAAACCACAATAACATTTCCTTAATCGGTCAATTGGTTGACATTGCAACAAAATTGTAAATTTAGTGACATAATTAAGAAAAAAACGGTGTCAAAATCAAAATTTTGTGGTAATATAGTGACTTTCTTGCAATTTGAAACTTAGTGTCAAAATCGAAATTTTGGTAAACTAAGTGACTTTATTGCAGTTCGGGAAAAGTAATTACCAGTAGAACACAGAGAACCTGTCATTTGGTTGATATTGCAACAAAAATATAAATATAGTGACATAATTGAGAAAAAAAACTCAGTGTCAAAATCAAAATTTTGAGGTAATATAGTGACTTTCTTGCAATTTGCCTTAAAATTAAGCACAAAAACATAAAAAAATTACGTCCAAACATAGACAAACTTGAATATAATATGTTTTTTTTAAGTTAACGAACAAAAATTATTATATGTGACCAGACTCATATGTACGAAAATACATAAAATTAAGCACGGAAACATAAGAAAAATTACGTCGAAACGTAGACAAACTCGAATTTAAACCAACACGTGAATTATATGTATAAAAATGTATGCATAATTCATAAATGATGATCATGATGATCATGACGACGACGACGACGACGACGACGACGACGATGATGATGATGATGATGATGATGATGATGATAATAATAATAATAATAATAATAATAATAATATTATTATTATTATTATTATTATTATTTAATTCTTCCAGCATAATATACATTAAATATCTTAAGTAATGCATTAAAACACAAAAACTCCTCCGGGTGGTAGAAAGTCACGACCTGTATAGGAGGAAATGCAGGACCCCAATATGTTGGGGCAAGGTCGATCAACGAGTTATGGGGAGTACCGA